TTTTGCTGTCTGTTTTGCTTACTTAGAGAGATATACAGAGCAGCAATATTATATCATTAATTAGAATCCACTGAAAAGATGCACCATGTTCTCTAGCACCATGTCCTTTTTTTTTTTTTAAGATTTTATTTATTTATTTGACAGAGAGAGACATAGCAAGAGAGGGAACACAAGCATGGGGAATGGGAGAGGGAGAATCAGGCCTCCCGCTGAGCAGGGAGCCTAATGCAGGGCTCAATCCCAGGACCCTGGGATCATGACCTGAGCCAAAGGTAGACGCCCAACGACTGAGCCACCCAGGAGCCCCCAAAAGCACCATGTTCTTCACAGAACTTGGAAAGGACACTATCTTTGCCTTCTAGGAACCAAGCACTGAGTAAATATAATATAGAAGACTACTACTTATGTCACACATTGTAATTGTAAGATGAAATAAGAGATTGAAACAGGCTTTTTAAATTTAATGATAGCCATCGAATAAATTATTAATTTCAAAATTTAACTTAGATTATGAAAAATGTAGATTGTTAGTATGTTTTGTCAGACCATACTTGTCTTTTGCTACTCTTTAATGGTATTTAACCTTCATCTGTATTTGAAAGTTGAGATCAAATATATCCGTCATTTTGTCAGCCTTGTAAGTGGGACTGTGACTCCTGTATCAGAATTTCTGGTTCTTCCTAAAGCATTATGTTCAGGAATTTTTTTCCCCATTTATATTGAACACTTAAAACAACAACAACATGAACATAATTCAGCACTGGAAAATTCATTTAATTATCACCTTAGAGCTCATAACAACTCCATTCTGAAACAAGATGTCTAAATACCATTTCCTTAGTGAGATGGAATGGTATTTGATTTCTGCTTTATTTTATTGTGCACAAAACACAAACTGCTAATAGATTTCTTTTCACTGTGATTACTGTCCTTAAACTTTACTTCAACATACGGAATATAATAAGAGAGTGGGTCTTTAAAGCTTGAACAAATTATTGCAAAATCTACATATTTTAAATCCAGTTTAGCAAAAACATAGCATATATGTATAGGGAGTCAATATTTTACTCCTTGGAGGCTTAGATTTCTCATTCTGGAAAAAGGGTATTCTATAGCCTCCTTGAGGTCATAACTTTCAGCCAGGGAGATAATCTGTCAGTAACTATTGATTATTTAGGGAAAATATTAGTGATTTATTGAAAGATCCATACTTCTATCTTACAATAGTAAATGCAAAAGTAGGCCAAGTGAACCATGACATAATGACATGGAGAAAAGAGTATCTCCCATATTGTTGCTGTAGAGGCAGGAGAAATAGAAAAGTAGCTAGTTGAAATCAATACTAATTTTAGCCTTATTGATGAGATGCTTCATGTACCAGACTGACCATAAAGCACAGAACATCAGGTCAATTGCAAAGGCCACATATGTCTGCCCTTCCTTCACTTCCTAGTGGACATGAATGGAATTGACTGTGTTTATTCCTAAATATATGTATATATATTTATATATATAATACCTGATTATGCAATTTCACAGAAGACTTTGAGACTCACTAACTTTGTGCCATTATACTGTTTGAAAGACTCCCAAATGCTTAAGAGAAAGAAGTTTCTATAAAAACTAGTCATTATTTGAAGTAATGGGTGCTTAAAACAGATTGCTGCTCTCATGGAATCACAGGCCAAAGTTAGAAAAACACTTTTTCTCTCTAACTTATCTTGCTAAACTAAGTATACTATTGGGGAAAAAATCCATTTTTAGCTCATGATGTTACAGTTTCTCCTGAACTGGGAATGCACCATATGCCCAGGTGTGGGTAAACTCTTGCCTTTACACAGGTACAGTTATATTTTTGAGGGATGGGCGGAGACCACTCAACATTGTCATTTGTTTCCTCATTAATTTATCACCCCCATCCATTCAATGAATATTCATCCATCAATGAACATTTTTTGTGTGACCACTATATAATGTCATACACTATTATAGAGACTGGGGGTACAAGACCATTCAATGTAGGCAAAATCTCTGCCCTTATAGAGCATGCAATCTTGCTGGATAAACAAATAAATAAATAGCTATTGAAGATAATGTCCCATAGGAATAACTATTCTTTTTTTAAAAGCAGAGAAAATAACAATGAGGTCTGCTGCTTCAGACTGGATGGAAGCATGACTTTTGAGCAGGGATTACAATGAACCATGGAAGCTTGTATTGCCAACATCTAAAGGCAGAATACGCAGAAAGAATATCAGGTGAAAAGGCCCAAACATGACATTGATTAGCATGTTCACTAGACGAAGTCTTGAAAATGGAAATATAATACTGAGAATAATTTTTGATACAAATTGTGTTGCTTTTTATAGCAAGCTGTTTTTTTCTTAGCTATCAGGAGTTGAGAGATCAATATCTCCTAAGGTTATAGGATCAGTATTTCCTAAGGTTGGATAATATCAGGTTATTTGCATTATGTGTCACAACTCATCAATCCTTCACAACTTACGATGTTTTGCCCATTCAAAAAAAGAATATACATTGGTACAAACTTTACCTGATGGCCTTACAAAGGCCCCAGTGCTTGTAGTTAGCCAGAGAAAAAGTCACCTAATCAGTCTGAACTTCACATAGCACATCAGCTTGATAGGTGTAGTTATTTGACCTTTCAAAATTATTTTGACAGAAAATTCTTAAACCATTCAGAAAAATCTACAAACTGGGCACCTGGGTGGCTCAGTTGGTTAAGCGACTGCTTTCGGCTCAGGTCATGATCCTGGAGTCCCAGGATCGAGTCCCGCATCGGACTCCCTGCTCAGCAGGGAGTCTGCTTCTCCCTCTGACCCTCTTCCATCTCGTGCTCTCTCTCTCATTCTGTCTCTCAAATAAATAAATAAAATCTTTAAAAAAAAAAAAAAAAAAAGAAAAATCTACAAACTTTAAAGATCTACTGGGTCTAAGATATCACTGCAAATTATATAAACATTTCATATTTAAACATACATGGCAGGGCACCTGGGTGGCTCAGTGGGTTAAGTGTCTGACTTCGGCTCAGGTCATGATCTCAGGGTCCTGGGATCGAGCCCTGGGTCGGGCCCCCTGCTCAGCGGGGAGCCTGCTTCTCCCTCTCCCTCTGTTGCTCCCCCTGCTTGTGCTCTCTCTTCTTCTCTCTCCAAGTAAATAAAAATCTTTAAAAAATAAACATATGTGGCATATTGTGCACATAAACATATTTACTCATAAACATATGCATGTGAAGTGATTACATACTGGAGTTGCCATGAAGGTGTTCTAGTTGCTGTATGTCACTCAGTAGTCCTTTCAACAACACAATAGTCAGCTGAGAGGAATAGAGTTGGGTGACAACCCCCAACAATGATCACTTTCAGGTTCTGCTGAGATCCTGCTCTCCCGGGCAACCCCTAACCAATGACTAAGCATGGTGGTGAGGTGGGGAGGCCAAGGAAAGACAGTGGGGTATTGGGGCCTGGTCAGGACCTCTAAGGAGCAATCTTTGCTCCAGAGCTTTCCACAGTTGGCTGAGAGATGATCAGATCCGTACCGTAGTTCGAGGCTTGCCTCTGTGACCCATCTTGCTTCTTTCCTCTTCTGTCCTTCACAGCTGCTACCCTGAACAGGTTTCTGTACCTCTAACTACATCTGAGCATCTGTACCCTCAAAGACCCAAGTGACACACATATGCTTACAGATGCACATATAAGTGCCTATTAATTTAGAGATCAATGCATTATTGAAGCTCTCTTCATTTACTGATAGCTTGACTAATGCCAATAAAGACAGGAAAATATTTTGTAAATACATTCATTCCACTAGAATACTAAAAGAGCCTTTCCCATAACAAAATATTTGACATCTGTGTAGGATTTTTTAATGAAAATTTTAATATAGAAGGAAGATTCACTAGAAGAGTCTTCTGTAGGGTTTGATACAGGATTTGGTTTAGTTGTCTCATCTAAATTATTAAAAGACCAGAAGATGTCATAAGCTGTTCTTACACCTGAGATATTCTCATGTCATATAAATAAAATGTTAGTGGAGGACAAGTCTTAACTATGTGTTTATTTTTATTGAACTGATAGCATTATCTTTAATTATGTAGGACAACATTTTAATTACAGTAACATATATATAAGTCAGACCATACATTCACAAATAGAGAGTGATTTTTGCACTTTAATTTATTAATGAGGATCTCCCTGGTGCTATATGCATCTTGCGGAATTTTCCAACACTTAATATATTAAAATGTTGACTCATTCTCAGAATTTTGACAAATGAAATCAGGGAGATTGTCAGTAATTGTTCATTACTTTCAGCAAAGAGAATTTAAATCAATTAGAAGAACAGTTCAAGATCTCATACTGATTACTCATGTGGAACTTCTTATTTTCCACAAGCTTTTCAGAGAAGCAGAAACACTTGATTAATATTTTCTGTACACACAGAAAGAGGTAGAATAATATGAGAAGCACTTTACTGTATAAATGTATTTTATAATGTCTAAGGCTCATTGAACATAAAAAATATTTACCACTGTTCATAAAGATTAATGTAAAAATTACTGCTAATATAATTGTGGAATCCCTATGTAGTTACATAACTTAGAAATTACCTCAACACTAAAAAACAAACTTACCAAAAGGATATTTTCTATTACTCAATTCACTAGAAGAAGATAACATTTGAAAAAAGTTGTTTTGCATTTTTAAATTAATTGAAAGAAAATGTGGCAATGGAAGTTTTGTTTAAAAAAGATAATCATGTCATTAACATAACATAATAAAATAAAAAAATGCAAAAAAAATTCATGATTCAAAAAAAAAGATGATCACATCAATATGATTCAAAATAGCAATGAGATACTTTTCTGACTAGGAAAGAAAAGCTTCCTGGCCTTTGGCCAATATTATATTCTTCCTAGACATTTGAAATGGTACTGCTCTTATTCCTTCATGTTACTCCCCATCCCACACTTATATCACATGCAATCATTGTTCCCTTTTCAAAAAAGTAACATGACAGAGAAGATTAGCATGGCCTCTGCGCAAGGATGACATGCAAATTCATGAAGCGTTCCATATTTAAAAAAAAAAAAAAAAGTAACATGAACAGCCAGTAAATAAAATATTTCAACTTTAAATAGGGTTTTTACCACAAATGAATTGACACAAGAGTAAATAACAAATAAGTCATCTACTTTTCCCTGCATAAAGTTTAACGGAAGCTTCTGTACATCCTGGACCACTCAGGAGTAGTTTATGGTACTGAATGAGAATACACCATATTTCAGCCTACATGACCTCAAATAGCCATTTTATGAGTGTTAAGGAATTCAATAAAAAGATGATTTAAAAGGGCACCAATAATAACATTTTCTAATTAATCTTGGTTCTAATTGATTGGCAAATGCTTCCACAATCTTGGATTCTTTTCCCCATCAGAGAAAATGGCACTAAGTCATCATTTCATTGTAGAAAACTCACTTCATCACCCATCTGTTTTCTCTTCCTTAAAATAAAGAAGGTGGATTAGAGGCAATCTAATTAACTATGTTTTGGGGGTCAGACACCAAAATTAGTGGGTCAGGGTAGATTAAGACAAAAGACGGATGGCTTTAACAAGAAGTTTCATCTAAAGGTATTCAAATACAAAACCCATGTGACATGGTTCACAACCCTCCAAAGCTCCCAAAGTTGGGATTTTTGGGCCAAGTTATCTCAAAACTCTCAGGCCCCCTCCAGCTCTAAGAAGCAATCTAGGAAATCACTGATACAGTGAAATAATAAGATATGAGAGAGAAAACACTGTAAGAGGAGATTAAAATAGAAAATGATTTCTTATTCCTTATGGACTCCTGTTATAGAGCTAGATATCAATGTTTGTATTCTTTTACCTTGTCCCTAATTCATTCAGATATTGCTTAATGCCATTTCTTCTGAGAAGAAAAGGTAGTAGGAGAAGAAGACCAAAAATATCCCAGCTCATATCCTAAATACATTCACTGGGAACCTACTATGTACAAGGCATTTGTTATGGGCTCAGTGTGTCCCCTCGATTCGTATGTTGGAATGCTAACTCCTGATATGAGTAATAGGAGGTAGGGCCTTTGGGGAATAATTAAATCATGAATGGGATTAATGCCCTTGTAAGAGGAAACAAAAGAGCTTGCTCTCTTCAGTCTGTTCTCCACAGTGACGATAAAATGAGAAGACTGACAACTACAAAGCAGGAAAAGGACCCTCACCAGAACGCAGTCTACCAGCACCTTGATCTTGGACTTCCTTGCATCCAGGACTGTGAGAAATAGATGTTCATGGTTTACATATCCCAGTTTATAGTAATTGTTATAGCGGCCTGAACTACGACAGCACTGTTCCAGATATTTGCATAAGGAAGGAAACAACACTGTCAAAGATACCTATTCTTGTGTGGATTATATTCTGCAGAGAGGCAGGCGGCAATCATTAAATCTAGTGAAATGAGTAATACAGGATATATTAGAAAAAAATTGCTATGAAGAAAAATAGGGAAAACATGAAAACATGTAAGGGTGGAAGGGACTGGTAGGGCAGGAAGTGAGGGGTGGAGGTTTGCACTATTTAATAGAGAGGTTCAGGGTAGCCCTCAGTGAGTTGGAGTCTGAGCAGAGATGAAAGAGATGAAAGGAGTCTGAGCAGAGATGAAAGGACCACACATGTGTCATGTGCCTGAGCAACAAGGGGAGGGAGGCCACTGTGAGGGAGGGAGAGAGGAAGACATCTGAGAGGCTGCCTGGAAATAAATAACATAATGCCCTGTGGCTGCAGTACGGACTTTCAGTCTAAGTACCAAAGAAATGGAGAGAAATGGCAGTGTTTTGAGCAGAGGAGGAGCATGGAACAAGTTTTCCTTTCCCTGATGAAACAGGGTACGTCGTTAAGAACAACAGCTTTGGAGTCAAGCAGCTCTACTGCTTATCAACTTGAATAATCAGTGCTGAATTCCTTAATGCCCTGTATCACCTATCAAATGAGCATAATAATACAAACACCACATAGGATGTGTTGTGAAGATAAATGAGATAATGCAGCCAAAGAACTCTGTACTGCAACAGGCATATTATAACTGTTCAATAAATTATCTCTTACCTTGCTACTTCTTTTTTTTAAATTTTAAATTTTATTGAGTTATGTTAATCACCATACATTACATCATTAGTTTTTGATGTATTGTTCCATGATTCGTATAACACCCAGTGCTCCATTCAATACGTGCCCTCCTTAGGCTAACACATTCCCCCACCCCTTCCCCTCTAGAACCCTCAGTTTGTTTCTCAGAATCCATAGTCTCTCATCGTTCGTCTCCCCCTTGTTACTTCTAATAAATGTTTTGTCCAAAAATGAGTACAGCTGATACCAGGATTATTCTAAAATTCCTTTCCAACATCTAACTTCAGACAGATGAATCAATCAACCAAACAATCTCAACTATGTGCAAAGGACTATTCTAGGTATCAAGGGGATATACAGAACTTAAAATGGAGCTCTTAATAAGAATATGATTTAGATGGGGTGCCTGGATGGCTCAGTGGGTTAAGCGACTGCCTTCGGCTCGGGTCATGATCCTGGAGTCCCGGGATCGAGTCCCATATCGGGCTCCCTGCTTGGCGGGGAGTCTGCTTCTCCCTCTGACCCTCTTCTCTTTCGTGCTCTCTGTCTCTCATTCTCTCTCTCTCAAATAAATAAAATCTTTAAAAAAAAAGAATATGATTTAGCTGAAGAAATAAAACATACATACAAAAAAAACATGCTGATTGTATACTACTTGCCAATAACAAGAAATAAACTTGCTATAAATAAACACATGGATGAATCTTAAATTCATCATGCAGAGTAAAAGAAACCACACACAAAAAGCACATTTTTATAATGTGAAGATTAATCTATAGTGACAAAAGGCATATAAAGTGGTTTCCTGGGTCCAGGGGAAGATACAGGACTAGACTACACACAGGGGTGCAAATAATCTTTTGGAAGTAATAGAAATGCCCTGTACTTTAAACACAGGGCTGCAAATAATCTTTTGGAAGTAAGAGAAATGCCCTGTACTTTAAACTTTTTAAAAAAACTTACATTATTGCATGTAACTTGTTCCTTCATAAAACTAATGCCAATAAAACCAAAATCACTTGCAATAATTGATTAAAATGGGTTGGACAATCAAGCAAGAATATACCTTTTACTAGTTTTGACTATACAATTTACTGGACAAGTTTGGATCAGATTTGAAAGGTCACACAGTAATTTCCAAATATTACTTGATTTGTACTAGGTCTAGAAATCTTGTTGAGCTTGAAGATAAAGTTCTCTTATTGGGTTGATTAGTTTTGGACTCATCCAGTCAATATTTTAGTAACTTTATGTCCATCTTATTTCTCTTCGGAGGATCCTCTCACTTGAAGCTTATTCTCTTTTTCTATACATTGTCTCCTTTTCTTGGAAGTGGTCTTTATACAGATTTACAGCACTTTTTTTTTTTTTTTTACTGTTTTCAATGTAACCCACAAAAATTTCAATTACAGTTTCATTTTTAAAATATAAGCAACTGTGAATACATTATATGTTAAAAAAAAAAAAAGAAGAAGATAGTAGGAAGGGAAAAATGAAGGGGGGGAAGAACCATGAAAGACTATGGACTCTGAGAAAAAACTGAGGGTTCTGGAGGGGAGGGGGGTTGGGGGATGGGTTGGCCTGGTGATGGGTATTAAGGAGGGCACATATTGAATGGAGAACTGGGTGTTGTATGCAAACAATGTATCATGGAACACTACATCAAAAACTAATGATGTAATGTATGGCGATTAACATAACAATAAAAAATTATAAAAAACTAATGTTGTATGGTGATTAACATAATAAAATTTAAAAAAATAAAAAAAAATAAGCAACTGTGGCTTCTATCTAAAACCCTTTTCAAATGATATATGAGAGAAGAGGAGTGTCTCATATGTCTAATTCTAAAAGGGTGGGACTTTTCAAATGATATTTTAAGTAATCTCATATTATATTTGGGTTCCAAGAATTACAACATTTTTATGAAATAGCATATAAAGCAGATGTCTATGTTACTAGAGTGTGAGACAAGAAATGGAAAGGGGCATTTTTTTAAACATTTTTATTTATTTATTTTTTAAAGATTTTATGTATTTATTTGAGAGAGAGAGAATGAGATATAGAGAGTACCAGAGGGAAGAGGGTCAGAGGGAGAAGCAGACTCCCTGCCGAACAGGGAGCCTGATGCGGGACTCGATCCCGGGACTCCAGGATCATGACCTGAGCCGAAGGCAGTCGCTTAACCAACTGAACCACCCAGGCGCCCAAAGGGGCATTTTTTTTTCCTATGATTCAATTTTGGTATAATGTTCTGTGGGATTATCAATTAATTGCATTAAAACCCAAATTCCCACTTATTTTTTATTTTCTTATAAAATTAATTGCTTACTATAAATAACACATTTATAAGCTATTCTTCAGAAATGAATGCTTTGAAAGCATATTTATAAATATAAAATATATTTTACATTGAAGAGAATATTAACAGTGAAATAGAGCTTAAAGACTAAATTGCTTAGTTTTCATTTATAGGAGAGAAGAGGGTTGAATCTCTAGGAAAGCTTTCTGTTCAGCATATTAAATGCCTAAGGAGTCACACTGGATTTAAAATATAGCACCTATTTTGGAAAGCAAATTCAGGATTCTTGTAGACAGATTGAAATTACTTCCTAATATAGATGATTCAAAGAAATACCTGTCAAACAGAGAGTTAAGACTTTTGAATGCAGACACAGTGTGAAAAATAAGATGATGTATTTTCTATTTCAGCAGAAACATAAATAATTAAAATTAATCTACACTCACAAAAATAAATGAACATATTCTGAAGAAATAGGTTGAATTTTAATCCTGATTTTTCACATCTATTTTTTTTTAAGATTTTACTTATTTATTTATTTAAAAGAGATAGCATAAGTAGGCAGAGCGGCAGACAGAGGGAGAGGGAGAAGCAGGCTCTCCGCCAAGCAGGGAGCCGGATGCGGGGCTCGATCC